AAGCAAAAATAAAAAAAAATTTCTAATAAATATGGGAAAAAAATTTTTTTTTGGTTGTTTTTGTGTTGCGAAAAAATACTTTTTATTTACCGATAACAGTTTTAGTAAATTATTTTCCAGTAAGTGGTAGGTTTTCTCTGGACATAAGTTTACTTACCATTTTGAGCCTTTCGGTCTCAAACTAAATTGTCAAAAAATCCATTCGGGCTGGGAACTTTGGATCCTACGTTAAAAATATTTTGTTCTATTGCCTTATTGAGTCCACAGAATCCAGCCTTTACAAATTTTGGCATTTTGAAGGGCGGCCAAAAGTTACTAATTAATTCAAAAGGCAGTTGACATTGACCCCCCTCCTCCACCCCTTCTTCTTTTCTATTCTTTTTTGCCCATTTTATTTTCTATTCTTTTAAAATAAGCTTTTGTCAGCTGCTTCTATACTTAAACCTAGCAAGATATAAGCGAGTTGAAGAGACAGAAAAAGCTCTTTTTTGCCAAAAGGCCACGCTTCGCTGGGACGGTCGATAAATATTGCTCATATAGTAAGGGAGAGAAAGGGAGAGAATCGGAGTAAAGACAAAAGACCGAAAGTTCAAAAGCTTTGGATTTCTTTAAAAATACAATAGGGGTATATCAGAGACTGTTAATAATGATAAAGCCTTAATCACTGGGCACGACATTTGGCCACATGCCCACTTGGCCACAAACACAAATTTGACAAATTGGTTTAAAATGAGAAAATATTGAAGGGTATTGGTCTTTTGGGCTGTAGAGGAGTATTATAACCGCTTCTCCTCTTCCCCTGCTATCTCAGTTTTGCCTGTGTTCACATGCATATACCCCCCTTCCCCCCTTATTTTTGTTGTTGTTGTGTGTACATTTTTTGTTTCTATTCCCCCACTCTGCAAACAAACATTTACTCTTCTCTTCTAAAAATATATTCTCATTTTTCTATATTTTTCATTATTGATATCATTTCCAATGACTGGATTAATTAACTTGAGAGATTAAATAAGGCTTTAAATTGGCTGCCTAATTTGTCTATTAAAATGCTTATTTAATTTTATTTCAAGTTTTAATAAAGTTTTTTAATATGTTTGTTGATAGTGTTGTTGGTGTAGTTGGAAACGCTTGGGTTTTTAGTCCCTATAGGGTGTAGGTTCGAATCCACTAGTGATGCTCGGGAGAAGAAAAAACCCGGGAATCGGGAAACGGGAGTCGGGTCGGGAAATGACCTCGGGAGTCGGGATCGGGAGTCGGGAATTAGCAATAAAAAAATTTTCCAAAAATTTTTGGCGCCTTCGGCGAAAAAATTCCGATTTTTTTTACAATAGGCAAAAATATTGAAAATTTTTGAAAGTAAAGAGCCTTACTAGCGCCGCAGGCGAAAATTTTGGGAATTTTTAGTTTAAGAAGTCAGATTTCTTCCATTTTTTGCGCCGCAGCCAAAAATTTTGACTCTCATTGGAGTGAAATAGAAAGGGGTCTTGAACGATCTTTAAGGGTAACTTAAGAGTTTATTTCCCCGATTATTTGGAAAGATAAGCCAACAGCCTGTCCAAAAAACCTAGTAACCGCAGAGATAATCAGTGTTGGGTATTGCTGTGGGCTTTTTCTTTGAACCAGAGCCCATCTTTGATTTATATTTGTTGTCATTGACCTTAAGTCCTTAGAATCTCTCCATTGGAGTGAAATAGAGGAAATAGTATTACTCAATAGTATTAACACCCCCTATGCAACATTAATCATCCATTGATATCTCTCTTTATTACTGCAAATCTCTCGTTATCTCTTTAAATTTACCATAATCCTAGTAAATTACCGAAATCTTCTATACTACAACTCCACAGATTCTTCAATTTTCAGCGCCGCAGGCGAAAATTTTGAGGATTTTAGAAGATCCTTAAGCCAAAAAACTTCCCTTTCAGCGCCGCAGGCAAAAATTTTGGGAATTTTAGAAGGCCAAGAGTTCAGATTTCTTCATTTTTTCTAAATGAAAATATAATTTTGTCAGAAAAATCCATTCTTAGGGGTGTAAAAATTACCCGACTTAGTCGGGAATTGACACCGGGAGTCGGGATCGGGAGGCCAAAAACTCGGGAAATTTTCCCGAGTCGGGAGTCGGGATCGGGATACCCGAGCATCACTAGAATCCACTGTCCGGAAATCTTTTTTATTTTCCTTCAATTTAATTTTAAACTTTTTTCTTATAATTTCTAGGCGTTTTTGGCCGCTCTTAAAATTTTTTAAAGACTGTTATTCGCTCTAATCCTTTTTTAATTATTTTTTCCCCCTTCATGAGCTGCGTATTATTTTCTTATTAAATTTTTTACCATTTTACCCGACTTTTTGTATTTGTAAATTTTATTGATTTTAGTCATAAAAATTTCTTAAAATTTTTTAAAATTCATTTTTCTCTTAAAACCCTACACAGGAACTTTAAAAAATTTAATAAAACAAAAATAGGCAACCGATTTTAGCTGTGTTTGTGTTCATTAGTTTTTTTTTCGGGTAGAGGACGGCGTTGACATTTTGGCTAAAAATGTGTGCAGCTAAAAATAAATGGAGAAAAAAAATATAAGCTAAATAGGACCTCAAAAAAATTTAAAAATTTCCAAATATTCTTCAATAAAATTTGCATTTTCCAGAGAATATTTTTATTTTTAGCAACTTTCACTTAGTATTTTCTTAAAATATTAAGGCTTATTTTCATTTATTTTTAGTTTCTAAGCATCGGATTAACCTTAAAATATCTTTTAACTAATGTCTAGTTTGCCAAGCTTTAAATAAATTTATTTACTAGTTTTTAATGAATATTGAAGGGACGTTTCGGCGCCGACACATTGGGGACTACCATAATTTATTTGCCTATAACTTTTTTTGTTTTCATCCAAGCCATATGGTCTTATATATCATTCGAAAGCTCTTGATTCGTAGATTCTTTTATCTAAAAGGAGTGAGTTGATTAGAACTTGTCTTAAAAAGTTAGGGCCTGATAAATGAGCAAAATCGTGATTTTTTGGGTTTACCCACTCATAACTTTTTTTTGAAATTTTTTGATCAAATCATTCCTTTCAGAAAAAAGATTCACCAAATCAAGAGCTTTCGATTGATATAAAAATTTTAAAAATAGACCAAAAATTTCAAAAGTTATTTCCATTAGATTGCCTCCGAGTCGGCGCCGTCTACTTAATATATAAATTTTTATTTGTTTTATTTTTGCGCTTTCTTTTACTTTTCTCATAAATTTTATTTTTAATCCATCGTTGAAGGATTGTAGTAAATAAAAAAAAATAAAAAATGCCCTATAGCACTAGGCAACCATAAACGGAAAATGTTTTGGCTAAAATTTTTTAACGAGTTTGCTATTTTTAAAAGTTAAAATGTTCTCTCTTCTCTCTTTTTTGAAAATTTTTAATTGGGAAAATTTTTAAAAATTAAAATTTTAAGGGTATTTTTGATTTACGTAATTTTTATTTGTCAGATGAAAAATACATACTTTTTTGTTTTTAATTTTTTGATCATGCAAAAACCTCTTTATTTTCTATATTTCTAAGAATAATAGAAGTTAATTTAAAAACATGAAAATTTTAAATTAAAATGTAATATTTCCCTTACTTTTAATTACCCTTCTAGTAAACCCTCCTTCAAATTCCTATAACACGTTCAAATTCCAAAACTCGAATATTTGCTCACCCTTAATTAATAATTACATCTTTTAGTGAAAGCAAGTAGATGCCACTGATGGATTTATTTCCGCTTCTGTTTACTTCCATCTTTTTTGTGTCTTCCGCCTTCCGTTTTCCGCCTTTTAAAATCCAAAATTACCCATCCCTGGTATATGCCCACATACTTGTAGGTCGACGGCACAAATTTAATCAATTTGTTTTTCTTAAATTAAAAAAATTTTTTTTAATTAACAATTTTCCAGAATTTTAAAATATACAAACTTTTATACTTAAAATGGATTTAATAAATACAGGAGAGGAGCAACAACAACAACAACAAAGAGCATCATTAACAGGCTGTACTCCTTTCATTGTAGGTGAAAAGCCTGGAACTGCAGCTAGCAGTGACGCTATGAGTAGACCAAGCTTAATTTCCTCTCTTTGGTCAATTCAAGTTCAGGTGACTATTTTAGGATAAAAATGGTTGTTGAGGAGTTATTGTACAGCTGGATATTTTAATAAACACATTACCATGATCTTAAGGGGTCTGCGCAAACCCCCCGGCCCAAAAATTAAACTATTATCATGATTTATATATATCAGTTGAATTAAGCAAAATTCTCTTAAGATAAGTAATTCAATATTTGAAATTATTAATATTAAGTAAAAAAGTTAAGCAGAAAAATTATATGACTGCCAGTTTCTTGTATATTTAAGTTAAATTTCTTTCAACTTAAATAAAAGAATATTTGAAATTATTAATATTAAGTAATTAATGTGTTAGCACTAAGCCATCCCTTATCTATTATTATTTCAGGGGATCTGCACAAAACCCTCCAGGCCAAAAATTAAAATAGATATTTTTGCCGTTATTTTCGCGATATTCTTAATTTTCGATTTTCAAAATTCGAATTTTTTAAAAGGAGAAAAATAGGAGGAAGGAAGGAGGGAAGGATGAATTCTGACTTCATGGCCGCCGTAAATTTAAAAAATTTTCGCGTGCAGCTTAAAAAGATTTTTGGAATTTTTCGGCTTCGAAACAACTAGTATTAACCATAAATTTAAAAAAATTTTTTGAATAAAGTTTAATCAAAATTAGCCATACACTACACTTTTAAGGGGGTCTGCGCAAACCCCCCGATCCAAAAATTAATTTAGATATAAATTTTCTCCTATATTTAAGTCAAATTTCTTTTAACTTCATATAAATGATATTTGAAATTATTAATATTAAGTAAAATATGAAAGTTTTTTATGCACTCAGATCACTTCTATATATCCTTAAATTTTTAAATTTGATCACATTTCATGCAAACTATTAAATTTTCTTCAGAATGAAGGTTCCGCCTCAGATTTTCCAATGATGGAAGGTTGTGGTTCTCAACAATCACTCCCTGAAATGGTTGTTGCTGGTGGGGGAGGTACTTGTTCTAGTAATTTTCAAAATGGTTATTCGGGTAATTTGGGTTGTGGAGGATGTGAGACTTCCACAAATGCAGAACAAACAGATTTGGCTAGCAGAGCTATTATTCCAATGGAAATGCAGAACAGAACGGGGGGACAACAACAACCATCTTTGCGCCCTGCAAAGAGTTTATCAGGTGAATGAGAGTAAAAATAATTTTTTCCCAGACCCCAAATTTTCCAAAAAAATTTTCAAAAATTTTTTTTTCTCAGACCTGCGTCCGCTTACATCAGCTCAAGCAACGGCTATTATGCCCTATCATCACCAACATATTCATGCTGATCAAAATGATCAATATATCCACTCTTTTAGGCGATTAACGGAGACAGGGGCTTATTATAATATGTTGAGTAGACAACAGAGAGATTCTCAGGTAGAGAAAAATCAGAATTTATAATTCTGGTTTATGTAAAATTATAATTTTCAAAATCGGAATTTTTGAGTCAGAATTTTTAAAAATCAGAATTTTCAAAAATCAGAATTTGTAATTCTGGTCTATGTAAAATCAGAATTATTAAGAAGCAGAATTTATAGTTCTGGTTTATGTAAAATCAGAATTTTTGAAAATCAGAATTTTAAAAATCAGAATTTTTAAAAATCAGAATCAGAAATAAATCAGAACCAATTCTGACCATTTTGACAGTGATATTTTGTCGTATTTTAACTTGAAAATTTTCTATTTTAATTAGATATGTGAATGGCTACAAAAATTAAATGTTAATAGCGGTGGGGCAGAAACTAGTGGAAGTGAAAGTCCTTCACAAGAGTTTTATCAACAACAACAAAGGCCACTTTTTCAACGAGCAGATACAACTGACCAATAAATTGAAAATAAAAATGCTTTGTTAAGTTGTGCTGTCGGACTTCATTATAAGATACCCCCAATACTAGATAACCATCTATTTAAGATACACTTAATTATAAGGTCCCATTTTACTGTTCCAAGGGTGGGTATCGGGACAGCTTAAAACAGCGCACGGTCATAATGGCGCAAAGCCATAACTTGCTTCATGATTTCCTAATCCTACCAGATTTAGTATCAACCAATCCCTCTCATCTAGGGAGATTGGTACCAAAATTAACATGGCTCAGACGTTTTCCAACAACACCCCTAAATATCCACACCCCTAAATACCTATCTTTGCGCCATTCTGGCCGCACGCCGTTTTGGGCTGTACCCGTGGGTGGGTGTCTTATAAAGAAGTCAGACTGCACATACTTATTTTCTCGATTAATTCCCCTCCCTCGGTTAATTCCCCAAGATAGAGTTGGGTTGAAACAATTATTCCACACCCCTAAATACCCATCCTACTGCACGTTCAAATGCCAAAACTCGAATAATTCCCCTCCCTCGAATGATTCCACATCACACATATGGGTTGAAATATTAATTCCCCAGGGGAATTAATCGGGAAAATACGGTATTTAATTTCAACTACATCCATATAATTTAAGAATTAATTTTTGACATTTTTTCTTTTTTTCTCTCATTCTTCGCATTTTTCTGTACTATTTCTTTACTTCTGAGTACCGTCTCTATTAATTAATTAACTAAAAAACAGGGTAAAAGTGCTCTAATAACTCTCTCCAATTCTTACCAGGGACCGAACTTGAAATGATTTTTTTGACCCTAAAACCGGCCCGATTCCACTGTATTTATAAATAATTTTTTGTCTTTTTTTAAGATTCTACACAAAATATTTTTACTAGTTTTTATTTGATTTAAATAAATACATAAACATTAATTTGAAATTTATACAGTATTTGGTAGGTAACATCCATTTTTTGGTGAAAGAAAATTTCATTGGGAGACTTTAGATTTAGATAATTTATATGTCATTCGAAAGAGCTCTTCGAGCTGAGTCGAATGACACCAAAATCAGCGAAATCTGACATGGGTTGACATGGTCATGACCTTTTGTTTTCCCCCTTTCGTCTATGAAAATTTTATTTTAATAATGAAATTTATTACATACATATAATCTATGAAAATTTTAACGTCTTCAAATTAATTTCTTTTTTATCAAACGTCCTCATCTTCATCCTCAGGTTTCTTCTTCGGATCAAGAAGATAATATTCCTCGTTTGAATCTATCTGACTTATGGAATTAATTTTAGTTGGCTCTTCTACCACAGTTTGATTTTGCTTTTCCATATGAGTTTCTGTTTCGCCTTTAGCACTTTCTTCCTCCTGATTAAAAAAATCTTTTTCAAATCGAATTTCCTTCTTAGACCGAACGATAGGCAGTTTACCGTTATTTTTAAAATTTTCTTTCTGTGTATTAACAAAAGAATTTTCTTCATTATCATCAAAATGAATATTCCCTAAATTTGGTTCAACATTTTTTAAGCTTTCCTTTTTATTTTTCATATTTTCTCGATATTCTTTCTTTTTTTCTTTATTATTTTGGTAATAATTTCGATCCCATTCTCGCCTCTTTTCTCTATTATTTTCTCTGTATTTCCGTTTAATTTCTTTCAACTTTTCCTTATTATTTTGGTAATATGTCTTCATATATTCACTTCTATTACACTTTTCTTTATTATCTAAAGTTGTTCTGACTTTTTTTGCAATTTTATGTTTTGGTTTCATCATTTCTTCAAATTTTTGAATTTGAGGATCAACCGATGATTCAGCCTCATCGTTATCAGTTGAGGTCTCCCCATCTCTAGTTAACTCATTTTTATCTTTATTATTTTTAACCGAATGAATTAAACTCCAAAATATTGCGTTGAATGTTAGAATTATTAAAATACTATCAAATTTCATCATAAATTAATTTAAAATATTTATTTAAAATAAAATTTTATTTACTACAAATTAACCAAAAATGATAAGTTTTAATTTATTGAATTTAAATAAGCAATATAGTTGAAAAAACACATTGGGTAAATTATTTAACATTTCATAATAAAAATATAAAGTACATGTCTCAACTCAATTAAAAAGGTAAAGTGCATTGAGAAAGATCAACTCTGGTTTAAACCTTTAAAAATTCTTTAGAATATAACGCAATGCACTTTGTTTTTTATTGAGACATGTACTTTATATTTGTTATTATGAAATGTAAAATAATTTTCCCAGTGTGTTTTTTCAACTAAATTGTTATTTAAATTCAATAAATTTAAATCTATCATTATTGGTTAATTTGTAGTAAATAAAATAATATTTTAAATAAATTTTTTATATTAATTTATGATGAAAATTGATAATATTCTAATAATTCTAACATTCAACGCGATATTTTGGCTTTCAATTAATTCGGTTAAAAATAATAAAGATAAAAATGAGTTAACTAGAGATGGGGGAACCTCAATGGATAAAGGTGGGGCTGAATCATCGGTTAATAGCCAAATTCAAAAATTTGAACAAAATTTGAAACCAAAACCTAAAATTACAAAAAAGGGCACAACTATAGATAATAAAGAAAAGCGTAATAGAAGTGAATATATGAAAATTTACTATCAAAATACTAAAGAAAAGTTGAAAGAAGATAAACGAAAATACCGAGAGAATAATAAGGAAAAGAAGCGAGAATATGACCGAAATTATTTCCAAAATAATAAAGAAAAGTTGAAAGAAATTAAACGGAAATACATAGAAAATAATAGAGAAAAAAAGAAAGAAGCTGATCGAAGATATTATCAAAATAATAAAGAAAAATGGAGAGAATACCGAGAAAAAATGAAAAATAAAAAGGAAAGCTTAAAAAATGTTGATCCAAATGCAGGAAATATTCATAATGATAATAATGAAGGAACTTCTTTTGTTAATACACAAAAGGAAGATTTCAGAAATAAAGCTAAATTACCAATCTTTTACGAGGAGAGCATTCAATATGAAGAAGGAAATCTTTTTAACCAAGAGGAGGAAGAATGTAATAAAGGCGAAACAGAAACTTATATGGAAGAGCAAAATAAAGCTGTGGTGGAAGAGCCAACTAGCATAAATTACATAAATCAGATAGATTCAGATGAGGAAGATGAGGAGGATTATCTTCGTTATCTGAACGACAAGCCTGAGGATGAAGATGAGGACGTTTGTTAAAAAGAAATTATTTTGAAGAATTTAAGTTTCAGAGAGAGAGAGTAAATTAAAGAATTGAATTTACAAAAATTTTGCTAATCATATTAAAAGTGTCAAATTAAAAGATTTATTTAAAATTATTGATTAAGAGATATCGATGATTTGGAGGAGAAGGTTATAGAGAGCAAACATTCCACATTCCTACAACATTCCACATTCTTTTGCTAGTTTCATACTAGAAAAATACTGCTCAAAAAATTTTTCTTTTTTCTCATAATCATCAGCATATTGTTTTTCCTTTAACTGTTTCAACAAATCTAGATTGTGATAGTTCAAAGTTGATAGTTCAAATAGTTGAAGTTTTAGAGTATTTGATAGTTCAATGTCAACAACCGTTGATATATTGCATGATGTTAAATGAGCTATTAAAACTAAGCATCAAACTTACTCTAATTACCACTGTTATCAACGACATGCCCATATCTTATATCAAAAATTTTGTAACATTTAAATGGTTCCTTCGAAAATAACTCTTTAATTTTTGAAAATTTAAATAAAGATCAATTAGTTTCAGAATCTATTATCTAACGTAGCGTTTACAAACCTATAAACTCGTTTAGGAATTTTTCTTGAATAACTTTGTCAGCTTCACTTTTAATTTTAGCTTCGAATACTTCTCCCTATATTTTTGGGTTTTCTTTATCAAAGTCATTAAAATTGAATGCGAGAAAAATTTGCTTGGAACGTGTCTGGTGAGTTCGGCAGAAATGGATTGGGCAGTGTGATTAGGCGGTGAGGTGATATGAGCAGTGAGTGATGAAACTTATTTTTCTTTTGCTACTTAAATTGTTTTTGTGTGGAGAAATCACTACCCAATGACTTCTGCCGAAATCACACAGCACCTTTTAGGAAATTTTGCATATTTTGGTTGCATATCTTGGGCTTTTTGGTGCAAATATATGCAAATATTTGGCGATTCCCGTGCATATTTGGGTTGTCTCTAATCATGAGACGTCAAGCTACAACAATTATGTTAACGTTTTTAGTTAACTTCAAATATGATTTATCTGTTTTTCTAACAACGAACATAAAGGAAAGGAAAAGATCAAAATAAGAAAGGACAGAAATTAAAGATAAAATGAATGTAAAAAAACATTCGTGTTGGATTTGTTCTACAACTAAAAAACATGCATTAGAAAAATGCAATTTCTTTCATATCTTTTTGTCTTTGAAACATTCTAAATAAGTAAATGATCTTAGAATTGAAAATTTTTTGCATATTATTATTAGCGGATCTGTATCTATTAGAGTTGTTAATATTGTCGCCCTACTCAGTCAAAATATCTAACCCACTATTCACTTTACTTTTTACCAGTCGCAACTAGGATTGTTTCAAAAAATACCGAGTCTAAAAACAAGTGTGTCGTATTGAGATCGGTAAAATCGCATTCCCGAAATTCCGTAACGGGATTTTTTCAACATTTTTAAGGAACGAGATCCCGCGGGATTAATCCCGTAAATCCCAGTAATCCTGTTTTTAGATAAAACCCGGGATTTTTAGACTGGATCCCGTGAAATCCCGTGCAGATCCCGTCCCGTTCCGTCTCTAGTGTCGTATATAATTATATATAAACTTTGAAACCATTCTCTTTTAGTCAAGATCATCAATATGAGGCTTTGTAGCTGGCTGAGTCTATTATTTATTATTTAATTTAGATTTAATTTGATGATAAGTATGCCCCCACCGGACGATGTAAATATAACTTTAATTGGCTTTATAGAATTCATAGAATCGCT